GGGTTTAAGGTTTATGGATGAGGGCATTAGGGCTTGGGTTTTGAGGCTCTAGAGAAGTGGGGATTGGAGGCATAGGAGTTCGCCGTTCAGGACTGGTCGTTCGGCACATAGACTTCCAGATCGGCGAAACATCGATTCACGAGTTTACCAATTCCCAAAGTTAATTCCAAAATAGTGTTTAGTGTATAGCATTCGGAGCCTGAAAACCTTCTGGTGTCCACAATCACTTGACCAATAATCTAAATGTATATTGGGGTTGAGCCTCGGAACGGTAGCTAAAACTCCTCGTATCTCGCAAAAGTGCTCTTGTCACAATCCACCGCAGATCCCAATTAAGTGTACCCAAAACGCGAAACCCATAAATAATACATAATTAGTATATATTGTAAGCCATAGTATATTTTAGGGTCTGTAGAGGTTACTCAGCTGCGGCGTACTGCTAAAGCCTCGAACCTTGGGCGAGGCTGAAGTTTCATGCGGGATGGTCAGGCTGGACTAGGCCACTCGCCATGGCGGGGGGGGGGGTTGAAAGGGATCCATGTAGCTACATAGTAAATCCTTGGCCCTTCAGTAGGTACATGGGAACCCCTGTCTGCCTAAGGTTATACTGTACAGCTACATGGACCCCCTTTGGGTTTAGTGTTCCTGTAGGTCGCTACAAGGGGACATATAGCCGGTCCAAGCCCGCCATGTTCTTCTATAGCTAGCGCTATAGCCACTTGAAAGGTATGCTTTTGCTGCAGTAAACTCCATGGGGAGTATCCCCTATACTTGCAGGTTCAAGGGGCAGTTTTTTGTAGGAATAGAAGTGTCCGAAGAAGACAAGACTTTTTCCGTTATCCTAACCGTTTATAAGCCCGAACGCACATGCCACTTATGTACTTGACACGTATGACTACCTATGCAAGATCACACGTATGCTCCCAAAACCCATGCCTTGTACTTCCTACTTTCTGCCGCCTTGTTTGTCGCAACTCGCGAAACCCAAGTGACAAAACCCTCAAGCCTGTACCCCGAAACGCCAAGATCCGTAAACCTTAAGCCCTCAATTGGGAGTTTCTTCAAGAAAGGGTCAACCTGCCCTACTCTCGAGTATGATATTCCTCCTGTCCACCTGCCAAAAAACCCCAAGGGTCCCCAAATACCATTAGTATTATAGTATGTGGGCCCTAAAACACTATGATTTGTGTCCTTGGACTCTTACGGAAAGGAATTCACGGTTTCTGGAAACTTCCAAGTTGCTCAGGCGACTTCGAACTTTCCGATCTTGTGCCAAGCAGCACGGCCTCACTCCGGTCTACCGATCGGCCTAAGGGTTTATGATTTAGGGTTTAGGCCTGGTAAGTTTGGGGTCGAGTTTCAGGGTCTAGAGCCCCTGAACCCTAAACCCTAAACCTTAGATTCTAAACCCCAAACCTACCTATCAGCCTAATAAGTTTGGGGGTCGAGGTTCTGGGTTTAGGACCTAGGGCTCCCCGGGACGTAGCATGGGATCTGTAGTTTAAATTCCTTTATAGGAAGTTATATGAGCTACAGTCTGAACTCCTTAAAAAAGGCTTAGGGCTTAGGTTTAGGGTTTAGGGGATTATATAGGGGACTATTCCAGGGGTTATTAAGGTGGATACTAGGAGTTTAGGCTATAGTTTATATGGTTTGCTCTCAAAATTCTGGGCCCCTTTTGGTCATAGCCAAAATAGAATCCTTATTTTCGTAGGGGACTATAGAGGGTGCATATTCTAGGGCTTCCTAAGGGGGATGCTAGGAGTTAAGACTATGGCTCACGCAGAAACCCCAAACAATAAACCCTAAAACCCTAAACCCTAAATCCTAAACCCTAAACCCACAAGAGGAGTTATGTATCAAGTCCCCAGAGCATGCAGGCCGGCTGTTTTCTGAAGCAAAACATCCCGCTGGCCTGCCTCCCCTGAACATACATAGGAGCGATAGTCTGACGTCCCCAAAGGTGGCTTTATAGGGGAGTATATGTGGGTTCAGGGTTTAGAGTTTTAGGGTTTAGGGCTAGGCTAAACTGCTAAACTCCTGAAAAGAGGCTATATAGGGGAGTATTACGGGGGCTATGAAGGGGATACTTGGAGTTTCGACTATGGTACATAGCAGCTACTGCCAATATTAGGGCTACCAAGGAGCCATCAAGGGTGCAAATAGGGGTTGCTCTGAAATTTAGTACAGTAGCATCCCTACAGTACATGTGTATATATCCTGAAGGCTCCAACTCGCCCAATGTAGGTGATATTCATAGACCTTAGGTTCCGATGTGAGTATTATTTATAGACAGAGCCTCAGGGCATACAGATATTTGCAAATGCGGACCCCGTTCAGGGTCCTTAGCCATGATTCTAAACCTTAATCCCTGAAGCCCTAAAAAAAACCCTAAACCGTGAACCCGAAACCCTAGACCTCAAACCCTAAACCCCAAACCCCTATTTACGAGGTCCAGGATGGAGAGCTTCGGGTGTATACTTGCTCGGGGTTCGCAGGAAATGAGAGGAATGAGGAACGTATATATTGGGGTTTCCGAAAAATTAGGGATACCTTTCTGGGGGTCCCAATAACAAGGATTATAGCATTTTAGGGTCTATATTGGGGTCCCCCCATTTGGGGAAACTACCATATGCATAAATAAATATATATATATATATGTATACATATATATATATAGACACAGGGTTTAGGGTTGCTACGCATTTGTTAAGGAAAGACATTATATGAGGGTTACATGCGGATTATATTCCCTTATTCCCTACTAAGCACCGGTCACCAATAAGCATTGGCTGCAGGGGTCACTGCCCATGCTCCACTCAGAAACTACACCTAGCCCGACGCCGTAGACCCTCAATCCTTACGTGGACTTCCAAAACATCCAGAACATCAGCCTTTTGCCCTAAATAACAGTTGTATAGGGCAATATCATCATGGGTATTCGCGCGGGCTAGGTACAAAACAGTTGATACAGAAGAGCCTCAAGCGCGGAGTTTTTCCACCTCAGAAATCCTGGAACCGTTCATTTCGACCCACATCGCTTAAACCATCTACATGAGCATACCATCTTTATCTGGATACCTGGAACCTGCCAAATCAAGGTTTCATTGATCTCACCGACTTTCTGGCGGAGCGCCTTCGCGATGTTGCAGCGCCTGCAGCATTAGAGGAGTTTCATGCCTTTTCTGGGTCTAGCTACATAGAGTAACCAATTTAGCATTAAACAGCGGAGTGGTACCTAATATTTCGGGGGAGGTCTTTCTAAGGGCCTAGGGACTCTAGGTAGGTTGTGGGTGTACAAACCCATCTTAAACCCTGAGCCAGAATAGGGCCATCAGGAGTCCAAACAAGCTAGCCAGTCCTACTTGGAGGGTAAGGAAGGTTTAGGGTTTAGGAGACTTAGTAATTAGATGGGTTAATAATGATGGTGATAATTAGACTTCTTATGTGGTTGATCGGGATTACAAGTATGTTTACTAGATCATCCTGACGCTTGAGGATCGCCAGAGAAATACGGTTGATCTCAGAATTTTGCCGGACGCTAAGTACCTTTTGCCTCGGCGCCTTGGGAACGCGGTTTAGGGTTTGGGGACTTAGGATTTA